TTACCACTCATAATTGTTAAATCATCACTAAGGGACCATAGTGTTAATAAAAATTGAATTAGGTAAACCGCATCCAAATCCATTAAGCCCTTTTTAAGATTTGCAAACACAAACACACAGACATCGCGACAAAATTCTAACAATTATTTTAAATTCTAGGTGTGTATAGTGTAATAGATTTACTTATTTATATTCACTAGCTTTTGCTCGCGACTTTATCCATATCCATTTTGTTACTTGGTGATAATGTAGTTTTCTATTAGTGTGAAAGAATATTTTGTAATTCGTCCAGTAGTTTTTGAGTTTATTTTTAAGTACAAAAATACAAATCTTTCTTCGCTATATTAGTAAAGACATACATACCTAATTTACATTTTCGTTGTATATAGATAAATTAAATTTTTTATTGTAAATATTTCCAGGACAAACTGCGGACGATCACGAGCAAATAGCGCCGCCTAATAGAGACCAAGAGGTAACTACATTATTTTGGTTATTACGAATGAATTTGCCTTTTTCTTACAAATTATATGTAACTCTGGCAACATTAAAAAAAATCTGCCTCCTTCTATATAACCTTATGTAATCGTCACCAGTTTGAAATAATTTGAATAAAAACTATTTGATTGTTGGTTTTTGTTGATTAGTATGAAAATGTAAATGTGTACTATATTATAAAACTAGCTTTCGCCAGCGACTCCGTCCGCGTGGAATTAAAAAAAACAAAAGTGTGTAGCCTATGTGTTCTTCCAGACTATCTATGTCTGTGCCAAAATTCATCGAGATCTGTTCAGCCGTTTAGGATACAAACTTTAAGAAACATCCATCTAAATTTTCGCATTTATAATAATAGTAAGAAGATTGTTTTTCATTAAGTGAGTTTTGTAAATTCTTAAGATAATAAAAATATGTTAAACCACGTTGCAGGAACAAAGTCGTTCAGTTCGCTTGCGGCTGTACCGCGAGGGGTTCACAGTGAATGACGGGCCCATACGACTGTACAGCGAGCCCGCCAACGCGCAGTTCCTCAACCATATCCGGCGCGGGTATGCATCTCCATACATACATACATACATCATTATCCACTTGCCCTTATCCCTTACGGAAGGTCTGCACAGCATGTGCTCTTCCATACATCTCTATATCTGAATACACTCCCTTCTTAAGCATATCCTCTTTCACACAATCCATTAATACTTTCTTCAGCCTTCCTCTACTGTAGCCATCCACATTCAATCTTAACACTTTCTGGTTTATGTCCCCATCGTCTCGTCGAATAACATGTCCATACCACGCTAATACATAGTATACATACATACATACATGTACACGCTAGAGTGTTAGTTCAGTATTATATCACTAACCTCGCGCCTTCGTCCATGTGGAATTAAAAATTTGTAAAAATACAATATATGTATGTATAAGGTAGTTATTTATTGGTGAAAGAGGTTTATTGAGTTATTTCAATACACACAAAAATACAATTCTTTCCTCTTTATAATATTGGTATAGACTATCTGTTGCTCACGACTTCGTCTGCGTCGAAAAAAAATCAAAAATAAGTAGATTTTGTGTTTTGTCAAGCTTTGCTCTACATCTATGCCAAATTTAATTGAAATCCGTTCACCCGTTTAAGCTACAAACTCTAACAAACACCCATGTAAACTTAGTACGATCATTATTATACTATATTATTCTGTAATGCACACTTTTTTTTAGTAAAAACACAAAATCATAATTTCCCAATGCTTTTAGAATAAATTCAAGAAAAACTCAAAAACTACTTGTTAGTTTTGAATATACATGTGTTACAGTGAGATCCCCGCGGAGTTGTCTCGCGAGGGCGGGCTGGTGCGCGTCAGTCTGGAGGACCACCGGCTGGAGGAGAGCCCGCACGAGCCCCACAC